TTCTTGCAATATTCCAAAAGAAGCTGAAATCTCCATTCACATCTGCCATGCCGTTCATTGCACAATCTGACAGTTGCATGTGTTATCGGCACGTTAACTCGACGCAGCTGCCTTGAGTGCGCACTGTGTCACAACAGAATGGCGCACACATTTTAGCCAGCCTGAGGGCCGCTCACACCACAATCACGCTTCCTGTCTCACCCATGAAGGATCATGGGACGGCTGACCTGAGCCGATTCCTGCTCTTGTCTTTAATTGGATGATATAGTAAGTTCCATAATGAGGAGGACGGATCTTCTCACTGCTTATCATGTCTGGTTTTGATTTCCGCTCTGAGGCAGAAGGTGCAACTCTGTGTTTGAAGTGAGGGGAGGAGTGGCAGGGTGTGACCTAGAGCAGGCTCAAACAGCAGCCCCCACCCCACCCCACTCTGCGCCTGAGGATTCATGGGGGCAGCCTGGTCATCATGGACAGAACTGGAGTGGCTGGGCCAGGGAGTAAAATGCTCCACCAGCCATTTAATGGCCAAGCCCCCCTCCCCCCCCCACTTTAAGATATCTTACCTGAGGGGCCCTATGCATACTAGCAGAAAATGTGAATCGAACAAAAAATAAGACAATAAAAGAACACTTGAAATGCTTTTAAGTTATAAGTGCATCTCAAACAGCGTCATAGATAGATAGGATTTCACATGACCTGTTTTGACACGTATTAAAGGTGAGTCCTGAATTACCAGAATTTTCTGCCATCTGTCAGCATGCTCATGTTTCCGGGAGAGCTCGGCCCACTCTCTGACCATGTTCTGAAAAAGTCCTGGGGGTGTAGTCCTCGGGGGGTGGGCCGGGGCGGGGGCGGTGATGTGGATATTTCACCATTCGGTGTCTAGCCGTGTGTTGGGCTCATTCACTCAAGACCGTAATTAACTTATCGCTTAACTTACTTCTCACATATTTAGTGGCGGCTGCTGGTGTCGCTGCATTAGCTCACAGCGCCACAGCCGGCAGACCGTCGGTGCCCCTCCCAGCTTTGCTGCCACACAGCAGGAGCTCTGCTGCTGAGATTTACACCCAATCACAACCCGGGAACCTTCCTGCTCCCTGGCACCCTGGTATTTTTACTCCGTCATGTTGCTTTCCTGAAGCTCAGCTTCTGACGCCGCCCGTCTCCCTGACCGCAGGCTGTACACCTGCGCACAGGTGGAGCGGGAAAGGGTGAGGCCGTGCTGGCGGGGGTGGAATGCGTGCGGAGGGGGTGCCCTGGGAGCCAGCTGAGGGACACCTGGCTGATTCAGGAGGTGTTTCTCACAACACGGCGCTGGGAAAACAAATAGAGACGAAATACTCGGGATTACCAGAAAGCCGGGCGGAGTTACACAACACTGCAGCGGAATTTCCAGATGCACACTATGGTTGTCAATGTGCTCAAATAGTACAAAAATATAGTCAGAGGAACAGACTTTGAATAAATGATATGTTATGGTATAAATGGAGAGAATATGGACCTGAAGGTACATTTCATTATTTAGCAGACAAGTGACATACATTTCTTGAGAAAGCAACATCAGCCAGTCGCTGGAGCAACTGGGGTTTAAAGGCCTTGATCAGGGATCCACTGGTGACATCACTCTGCTGCAGGGGCGTTGCTAGAGATTTTGGGCCCCATGAAAGCATATCATATTAGGCCCCCAGTCCAAACCAATCCAGTTATTTTCCTAATTTTTTAGGGCCCCTGTCACTCAGGGGCCCTTGGAATCGTCCTAGCTTTCCTCCCCCTTACGGCGCCCCTGCTCTGCTGACCCAGGGATTTGAACAAACAGCCTTCTGATCACAGACACAGTGTCCCAACCCGCTCAGCTAAACAGCACCCTCTGGTATTTATGTGTTCAGCATACTCCCTTTCCTTTGCTTCTAAAGAGTCCAGTCATCTCAGACCTGCAAATCATTTGTGCACCAAAGAATCCATGAAATATCTGAACAAATGTATAGATAAAGGCATCAACCTGACCAGAACCCCAAGGCCAGAGGATACTGTGCTGGTTACACATCTGGGCTTTTGATCAGAAGGTTACATGATGGGATCCCAGTAAGTCATTAAAATCGTAGTTAAGCCAAAACGTCACACTCCGTTGTGTATGTGTAACATTTGCTGGCAGTATTCATGCTAAGCTGCGCCTTCTGAGTGTATCGTTACTGTGACAGACGCTGGTCGCTTTTCTTCCTGTGGTCATGGGAGTTTAGTTACTGCCAAACTCAGGACACTACGTGCTGACAGAATCCCTGCCCCACCCCCCAGCTCATGGGACGACCACGTGAAGAGGGGGATTCGGCGGATCAGGCCTGATCTCTGTCACCTAGGATTTTCAACTCAGCATCTGGCTGAGAAAAGCTGAGATAAAACAACTGCGACAGAAACGTTTCAGTTATACCCAAATCCCATACTTGTGTGTGTGTATACACACAAACACACACACACATATATATATATACACACATATAAACTGTAGTTCAAAGCAGTGTGTTTAACAAAAAACACAAACAGACTGGCATCAGTTCATCGCTCATTTAAATCCCACTTCAAATACTCTCTAACTTTCTTCCAATGAATGCGCTATAAAGCTGGGAAATAGTGGGAGCAGGAATGGGGGGGCACCATCCTGTCAGTTAAAATCAGGAGCTAATATGCTTCACCCCGCCCCCCGCCATCCTCGCCTCGAAGTGGCCAGCTGTGTGCCGTTATTGTTAGCGTCAGTAGGAAGCTTTGATGGCTTTTGCAGCTGAACAAAAGCTGGATGGGAGAGCAAAGAGGAGCTGCCAGACAGAGCGGCTCCAGCCGGGGCTCTCTCCCACAATCCCTGCCCGCACTGCCATTGTCCTGACCACGCCCCCGAGCCGCCCTCGGCGCTCTGACCGCACAGCCTCGGCCGGCCCCCACAGAGCGCTGACCACGCCTCCCAGACTTCCTGTCATGACCAGAGACGGCAGAAACAGTGGCAAGGCGGTGAGGAAATAAATTTGCATGTAATGCATCTGAAGCTAAACTGTAAATGTGTAGGAGACCCATCTATCCATATTCCGAGGGTCGGGAGCTCATCCCTGAATGGGATGCCGGGACAGTCATCTTTAATGTGATAATAAATCTGATTTAAATTCAGAAACGGTCAGGAAGGATCACTCTGCTTTGTCATGTACAAGGGGATGATATAACGCATACGAATTACAAACAGAAAACGGGATGTATGTACAGTATTTGTATCCAATATAAAAATGTTTTATGTATAGATGATTATATAAATTGACAGATTTGTATGTATGTAATGGTAATTCTCATTAAAAATGAATGTTGAAAAATGCTGGAATTCATTTGACCACTTCTATCGATTTAATATTTAGAGAATAAAAACAGGAACATTGTGCATATATTTCGTTTTAATCTTTAATATTATGAAACGGAAAACCAAATGTGTTGCCAGCAATGATGATCACTTTAAAATAAAACAGATTATATAAATATAAATTGGATTACATTTAAAGAACATTTAATTCAAATACCTTCTCTTTTCCGGTGGACAAAAATACAATCCCAACATTACGTTACCGCAACTAAGTCTCATGTAATGGAATGACACGAAGATAAATGATTATACTGGAATTTACTTAGAAAATGCCGATAGATCCAAAGCGCTATTATTGCATGCTGCTATCGGTCTCTATTCTGCTTTTGGCGGCTGATCGGGCAGACTGGCGACAATGGCCACTCGCAGGTGTGCAGGGCAGTAATCTCATCAGAGTGTTTTTGGGGTGATAAATGAATGGCCATCTCTACGGCCAGTTTGTTCTCAGGCTCCGCGCGCCGCAGGTGAATGGGGCGCGCAAGCCTGTTGTTTGCGGTCTCCTTGGCGACCGCCCGCGCGGCGCCAGGCTGACAGGCATCAGGGAGTGCATGAATGGGTGACGTCACGGACCTGGCGCCCGCCAGTCTGCGCCGGCTTGTTTGGACAATCTGGGGAGGATTCCGGGCACATCAATGCGATTTAAACGCTCACGCGGGGCCGCGCGCACAGCGAGAACACGTGAAAGAAGCTGTTCGCCTATTCACCGGGAAGCTCTTTTAATACGGCTCAAGAAGGGGGGTTAAGTGCAAAAATATGCAATTTGTTAGCATAAAGACCTCTTTAACATGTTAAACGGGAGCTGCTAATCTAAGTGCATGGGAATTTCGCCAGAGCTGTAATGGCTTTCGCGAAGGAAACTTAATTTACTTGTTGTACATACCATATACGCATTGGATACATCGCTTTAAATGGGTGTGTGTTTGTGTTTGTGTATATATTTATTTATATTTATATATACACTACACACACACCTTTGTTTAATGTTATGTGTTTAAGTAAATTTTACAATTAAATTTATTAAGTTATATTATTGACACAAGCAGGATGTAGGAAATATTAGATGGAGCGCGTAGTATTTTATTGTAGTTTAACATATATACAGTATAAGGAGTATTATTGTTGGCAAACAAAAGATTGAATATTACATAATCTTTTAGTGGGTAACGCAGCTATACCGATATTCGTTTTTTTAAATTTCATGTCAGTTCATTCGCCTTCTATATGCACATTCAAATAAACCACAACTATGCAAAGACTGGTATCTAAATTCTACAATTTAAAAGCTATTCATCCAGAGTAATTGCTGTACCACCCACCCCCACCCCCAACAAACGCTTCGCTCGAGGCATTCTCTACACCTGCAGAGTCCCCGAGCGACAAACAGCTGGGTTCCCACAAATCACCCATAAAAAACACATTTGTTTCCATTTGCAACACCATCCTCTAACAGATTGTAAATTTTGATAACCAATGCCGCATGATCATTGGTGGAAAGGGAATGGCGGACCACCCTCTCTCTGTAAACTATCGTTTTCAATTGGCTCCGTTAAGCAACAGAGCCCGCTTGGTCCCGCCCCAAGACTGCTGGACAGCATAAAATAGGACGCGAGGAATTGGGCTCTAATCAAACTGTCACCGGGACAGATATCGAAGAAGAAACATCTATAGAAAAGCTTTACAACACAGAAGAACTATATTTAGAAATACACCAATCTCTAATCTAAATATTTCTGAAAGCCGTTTATCTAGTTTTCCCTCAAGAAAATCTACTGTAAGCAAAGATGAAAGTTATCGGATCTACCTGCACGCTGAAGACCAAGGCCGGGAGCGAAGACGTGGTCCGCTGCCTCTCTGACCAAAGCCTCACCATTTCCAAATGCAAAATGCCGCTGCTCGATGAGCACATGACCATGTTCCTTCAGGACATGAACAGCTGCTACAGCAAATTGAAAGAGTTGGTGCCCACCCTGCCACCAAACAAGAAAGCCAGCAAGATGGAGATCCTGCAGCACGTCATTGATTACATCTGGGACCTTCAGGTCGAACTGGACGAACCGGGCAAGGGCCGACTGCAGGGAACAAACAGTGGATCGATCACTCGGTCACCCCTCACGACCCTCAACTCAGAGATGGCAAATATCACTGTGGAGGTAAATGAGGCTTCCGCACTTGAAGTCCACTGTAGTTGTTTAATAATCTTGATGTGAAAATCTGATGTGCATTTTCAACTTCTAATTAATGAAGGTGTGTTTTGCTGTGTCTGTTTTTATTGATCAAATTTTTCCGTATTCTCTCCCTTCTCCAGAACGGGTGCCCTGATGACCGAATCTTGTGCCGCTAAAGCGGTGACTGGGGAAAGTTCTGGCATGGAAAACTATGGAAGGTTCGGCGGAGTTTCTCCTTGGTGCCGAATCGTCACGTCGATAACCTTGAACCAAATAGGGACGTTACGATCAAGCCGAGATCGAGCATGACTCCGAGCGGCTGCACGGACCCGTCCCGGTCCCTAAACCGGTACCGGGTCCAGTGGCGACTGAGCAACACCGAGCCGATGAACTGATTTGCTCGCTTGTACCGTGCAGTACAGCTGTCAGTACTGGAATTCACAAGAAAGATATGCTATGCTTCGTCTATCTTTCTCACTATTTTTGTATTCGGTTAAATTTACACGTAGGAAAGATTTTAAACATTTTGTAAAAAAATGTCAAGTTCTCAGATTGCTGAGTATGAATTGTATTGTATATTACAATGCTATGAAAATGTTAGTCATATTGGTTTTGTATTTACAATGTACCTAAAGTCTTTATTAAAATGGGGTATTTTGAAGAAAAAATAACGACTAATGGTGTTGTTTTCATTGGTTGTGATGGGGGGAGGGGGGTGTATCCAGTTCACTCATCATCTTTAAGTAAAAATTCGTAATGGTGTTAGAGAGCTGCATATTTTCATACTGGTTCCTGGCAAAGTGGTTATGGCTCCAGCACAGAGTTGCAGCGGCAGAACAAGGGGTATGAAGACTTGATGTCCTTCTTGCATGTTCTCTGTTTAAGGGTCTCACTTAAGTATAATATCCAGCTGTATAAATGGGTAAATCTTTCAAGGTAGACAGTACCGGGCAATTGGATGTAGTCTGTGAAACGAAAGTCCTAATTTTATCCATCAGAACACGTAGTGCACTGATCACCAACTGGTTCCAGACTCATTTAAGCATTATGTGCTCGGGCGTTGCTTTGGCTTTGCCTGTCAGAGCCCAGCCTCACTAAGGTAACAGAATAACGACTTGAATACTGGGGAGGAGTTTGTTTTGCGCTCCCCAGCCAAGCAAATATCTTCTCTCTTCTAAAAAACTTTCTGAAGACCCAGTGTTGGTGCTCTGTTATTAGCAAACAACCATTAAACTTTTAGAAAACCGAATGACACAACACTCAGAGATATGGTAGAATCTTTATGTTCATGTTTGCCCGGAAAGAAATCTCCTTTGAAGGAAAAGTTTTGAGTAGGAATATCGCCCCCCCTCTCCAAACGATTCACGATCTGGATGCAAATAATTTTACTTTGAGACGGGAACACGGTTTCCAGTTCTACCATTACAGAGGCTCCTGGAAAGCAGCTTTCCAGTTATTTGCACGTGAAATGGGGAATCAATTACATACTTTTATAGATATGTGCACTTAGTTTAGACAATATGCATGCGTGTGTGCGTGCGTGCAAGAATACTTTGAGGCTGCCAGTTTGCATTGATTGCCTTTCCTTGTCTCTGTTTCTCTCTCTCCTAGCCGGGCCAAATAGAGCCGACTCCTGGTTTTTGGCTGCGTTCCCGGGCCATCTGCGGCCTGGCGCCCGGCTCACTGTTTGTTAATGTTTCAATCAGCTGTGCGCCGAGGAATGCGGAGCTATTTAACCTGAACTTCCCCAGGTGTGGCCAGGCGCCGCTCAGTCTGGGCCCGCCTGCCCTCCCCTGCCCTTGGCACAATGCTGTCACACAAACACAATCACACGTCCTGGCTCCGCTTTAGAGCCTCGCCACTGCAGCTGTGCACATCGGGCCGCCGAGTAAATGGGGGTCGGGGAACACTGCACCAGGGGGATTAAATAAATCTTTCAACAAATTGCTTTTGCGTAGGAAAACGGGGTGTAGCCGCTGCGCTGCGTGAAAGCCAAAAGACACCGATTTGATCAGATTGAAATAATAAGCATAAATAATGTGGAAAATAACAAAATTATAAAGAGATATTAACGTTAGCTTGTTTTAATTATGCATGTATGTACGTATATATGTATAGGATTTATCTATGCGCGCGGGGCAGCATATGCATATTTTCTATTAATTGTTTATTACATTTCATGGCAAACAAATGACATTGGACTTTGCAAAAACTTAACCACCTATAATTAACATTTCTGCAGATTACGGGACTGCTATTCTACTTTTCCACAGACTGTTATCTTTGGACAGCTGGATTAAACCATGTATTAAATCATATCTACGACACCAAGCCATTTACCACAATGGAGCAGTTATAATTTACAAATTAAAGAAGTCCTTTGCGAATACAAGCGCCTCAAATATTAAATAAGACACACGATGCAATGACATCTACGAAATTAAATACTACATTTGAGTGAAGTGAAATTTACTTATAAGGCTGCGCCATCTTGTGGTCGTACGCATGTAACTTTCAACATTTCAGAACATCTTATGCTGCAGTATCGGGTCAAACATATCACTTCTTCGGATTAACTCAATATACGCAACACATTCATTAATTTTCCACAACTGAAACTGATGCCCATCACATGGAACAAAGGACATTAGGCAGGGACACAGCCAAATATGCCAGGTCCATTTAGAGACACCAATCCACCCAAACGGCATGTTTGGACCGTGAGAAGAAATAGCACCGCCTGTAGTACCTACACCAATAACGAGCATACAATGAACAAACTGTATACTCGCGTAAAGGTGTGGTCAGGGGCGTCGGAAACAGAGTGCATGAGATCACCCCCCCCCCAACTTCCTTCCCATAAGTGGGCGGGGAAGGACTTATTCCCGAAGATCAGATGGTTGGGGCCACATCGCCTCCCAGTGCAGGACTTACCATGGGTTCAAACTAATCACACTTCTTAGGGCACTCTTCCTTTCCAATACACCTCACATCGTCTCCTCCAGCTGTGCCATGTTCTGATGTGTCCATGCTACTTACTTAAGAATTGACTATATAATGCTTTAAAAGCATGCTATATATTTAAAAATAGCCATGTTCAGCTGGCATAGCTTCTAGGTTAAGGATGAAATTACGCTGCCAGTTTTCAGCGGCTGGAACCAGCGGCTCACTGGTTAAATCCGAGCATTTCATGGACAACGACCCCTCCTGGGCCATACTGAAAATGTTCAATTATAAAACACGTTAAATTGGGAAAACGCGACACGTGAAATAAAGAGACGTCATCCGGCTGATAAAAATATTTAATTATCCTTAAAATCAGCATTGTTTTTTATTTTTTAAAAACGAAAACTGGCACTTCATCGTAACAAAAAACAGTGGCTAAGGCAAACATAAATGAAGTGGAAAAGGTAGGGACCACCCAGAAATACAATTTCAGACCATCTCTGAAGCCTGAACCACCAAATTATTGTCAGTAAAAATGTACAAATCACAGCCTGTTTGCTTTTAGCGAAACTAACTGCTGGCCTGTACACTCAGGACCTGGTTCAGCACAGTGCTTCAGGTGAGAGGGACAGCTGACTTAGCCGTGGTTTAGCTCAACCCCCCCACTGCATCAAGGCCAGTCTGCCCAGACCAAAAGAAAATAATTAAAAATTACAAATTAAAACAGCACATAAACACACTTGTCCTCACAAGTGTTAGGGCAGTGTGAAGTTTGTCACAAGATCATCAGTGGGGAGGTCGGTCTCCCCTTCAAGGCCTCTGACTTCAGAGGTGTCAGTTTCATCACCAAGCAGATGGTGTTTAGTCAAATTTAACACAGAAGCTCAGTTAAAGGTTTCTGTCAATGGCAGATGTTCGATCAAGATGCAGCCGAGCACCTCCAGAATGGCGCTCAGACAGACACCACAGCCGGTCAGGGAGGTGGCCTGGAGGAGCAGTGTTGTGTTTCATAACACCAAGGGTCCCAGTACGCTCTCCAAGCAATCCAAGAGTAAGCATACCCCACTGAACTGCAACATCCCACTGCTACAAGTTGGCACCCCCATTCAAGCTTGCTCAGGCCCATGACCATCACTTGCCTTTGAAGTACTCCAGTAGAACCTGCTACCCAAGTTCCTCCAGAAACTCTGATCCTTAAGACTAAGGTACTAATCAGCTCAAGTAATGGCCGACAGCCTCCACCAAGTGCTTGCTACAGCAATCCCAGATGGTTAACATCCCCAAAACGCATGTGTATGTCACACACACTCCAATTCTCCTTCCGTCTCTCCCTGCCCAGCCAAGATTCTCTGCTGATGTGATCCAACACTCCGCTCTCCTCCATGGACTCCTATGGACCCCGATCTCTGGAGAGTACAGCCTCTACGTGCGCCGGCGTTTGGTCCCACTGGGGCTGGATGGGTTGCCGTTGGAGACGAGGGCTTTGTCGGCCCCGGCGCGGTGCCTCTTCCTCTTGTCTGCCACGCCCTCAGCCGAGCCCCTCTCCCCATCCCGGTCCTTGTCCCTGCTGCCCGACCTCTCCGCCACCCTCGCTGCTGCAGCACTGCCTATGGGGGGGGGGGGGGGGGGTGGAGGAGGTCCATCATTAAAGGGTTAACTGGCCTGTCGTGTTCTTAATGTCCTGACTGAAAGAAAGGAGGGAAAGAAGATGATGACTGTGCTTCTTACACATTAATATGTCTAATGGAGTCTCAATGGTCTGCGAACTAATACTAGATGAAACAGGGGCTTGAACTCCAAAAAAAAAAAAAAAAAAAAAAAACATTAAAAATGTTTTTAAAAAGTCAACATGGCCCACAGTAATAAAAAAGAGGATCTGTCAATAAAAGATCTGAATCAGGGCCAGACTAGTGTTTTAAGAGTCAAAGGGGTCTTCAGTCCATACCTTTCAAACTGGAGTCTAGCCAAACTGGGACCTAGACCTTGGAAAGTCAAACAGAATGAGGAGGGTGAGGGAGGTGCCAGATCCTGCCAGAAGAGGGTGCCAAAGACTACAGCGCTGCCCCAAAAACGCACTTTTATAAAGGGGGGAAGTGAGACATATGGAGAGTAAAATAAAGCTATGGTGAGCACCTTCTTCATATGTGGATGGTGAGTCTCTTTCCTCCTTCATGTCTTCTTTGGATTCCTGTTCTAGTTCCAGTTTTCCTGTCAAAGTAGACAATAAAAAAGACACTTATGCAGTCAAGATTATGACTGCATTGAACATGGAGAAAATCAATCAATTAGTCAATAAATCAATCAGATATTTTATGGGTTCCACTGAAATAAAGTTAGCTGATTATGACCTTGGTGTGTATGTTGATGCTTCCATGTCCCACTCTCGCCAATGTGGGGAAGCAATAAAAAAGGCCAACAGGATGTTGGGTTACATCTCTAGGTGTGTGGAGTTTAAGTCAAGGGAGGTGATGCTACGATTATATAATTCCTTGTATAAGACCCCACCTAGAATATTGTGTGCAGGTTTGGTCACCATATCTTAAGAAGGACATTGCTGCTTTGGAAAGGGTGCAACGTAGGGCTACGAGAATGATTCCTGGTCTTAGAGGAATGTCTTATGAGGAGAGGTTAGCTGAGCTGAATCTGTTTAGCCTTGAGCAAAGGAGACTAAGGGGGGACATGATCCAGGTATATAAGATTCTAACAGGTCTGGATGCTGTTCAGC